CTGCCGAAAAGGGAGAGACAAGAAAGGAGGTTGACCGCGAAGGAGACTTTGCTACCAGATCAGGGTTCAGGGTTGTGGCGGTGTGCCACCTGCCTGAGTTCATCTTCAGCTGGAGGGGATGGGAGACCATCAGGAGATCACCAACCTTCGTAGGGAAAGGAAGCTGTGCCAACCTACAGGTAATCCTTGACTTAAGGACCACAACTGAGTCTAGATCAGTGGTTCTCAATCTTTTTAATGCCGCGACCCCCAACCGGTCATAAGTCGAGGATTACTCAACCGGTCGTAAGTCGAGGACTACTCAATTGGTGCAGCACCGTTTGCAGACTGGGACTTTTGGCGGGCTCAGCAGGGCAGAGACAGCCTGGACAATTCCTATTGGCTTTTGAAAGCCAATAGAATTAGACTCTATTCAAGAGAGTCTATTCTATGGCTTTCAAAAGCCAATAGAATAAAAGGGAGTAGCACAGCTAAGGAAAAGGGGAAAAGAAAATGGCGGACTGCGTTGTTTGGCGACCCCCGTGAAATGGTCATTCGACCCCAAATGGGGTCCCGACCCACAGGTTGAGAACCACTGGTCTAGATAGACAGTCCTACATCGTAACAGTCATTACGCGAGGCACCCAAGCAAGTCTGGACTCTCCTCTCCATGAAGTCACCCATGTCCCAGATACTTTTTGGAAGGGGAGACAAGATGGTAGACGTTTGAGATGGGGGTGAAGCCCATATCTGCACCCCTCCAAACTCCCTCAAATAAGGACCCCATTTCCAAGCGTTCTAGACAAGAATTACTTGCAAGAGATGAAAAAAATGATCAGAGCTCCGTTTAAACGAACGCACGCCCCTCCTTTCAAAGGGCAACCCTTTATTTCAGCGAGCCCGTCTTTTCGATCTAGAGACAGTCCCCGACTTATGACAGTTGAGCCCCAAATTTCTGTTGCTAAATGAAACAGCTGAATTTTGCCCGAAGTTTACGACCTTTTTGCCACAGTTGCTGAGTGAATCACTGCAGTAATAATAATAATAATGATGATGATGATGATGATGGTGTTGGAAGGGACCTTGGAGGTCATCTAGTCCAACCCCCTGCTCAAGCAGTGGTTCAGTTAGCCACACGGACTTTAAGCGAATCTGGCTTCCCCCTTGTGACTTCGCTTGTCAGAAGGTCGCAAAAGAGCACCCGGCAACCGTCGTAACTCTGAGTCAGTTGCCAAGCGTTCCGAATTTGGATCACGTGATTCCGGGGACGCTGTGACAGTTGTTAAGTGTGAAAAATGGTCATGTCACCTTTCTCAGTGCCCATGGTAACTTCGGTCACTAAATGAATTGCTGTACGTTGAGGATTACCTGTATTTCTTTGATTTTTGTGTTTCAACAGTCTTAGCTGTGATCCGGAATTTTCCCTTTGAAAAACCCAATTATAAACTTAAACAGTTACTTATATTTTCTGGTCTTTATGAACCACTTTCAAATTTGCCCCGTTTTCAGGTTTGGCCTTCATATATGTTTTTTGGCCAAGAAAATACGGTGGCTGTAGAGGTCAGGGGTAGGCAACCTTGGTGTTTTTATGGCTCATGGACTTCAACTCCCAGAATTCCTGAGCCAGCCTGGCTCAGTTTGGAAACTCTCCCTTTCTCCTCAGCATGGCTGGCTCAGGAATTCTGGGAGTTGAAATCCACAAGTCATAAAAGAGCCGAGGTTGCTTAGCCCTGGCCTAGACCATTCAGAATAACAGAATAACAGAGCTGGAAGGGACCTTGGAGGTCTTCTAGTCCACCCCCTGCTCAAGTAGGAGTCCCTAGACCAGGGGTAGGCAACCTTGGCTCTTTTATGACTGGTGGACTTCAACACCCAGAATTCCTCAGCCAGCATGGCTCAGCTTGGAAACCTCTCCCTTTCCCCTCAGCGTGGCTGGCTCAGGAATTCTGGGAGTTGCAGTCCATGAGTCATAAAAGAGCCAAGGTGGCCTACCCCTGGGCTATAGGTAGTCCTAGACATACCTCAGTTCATTTAGTGGCCATTTGAAGTTACAACGACACTGAAAAAAGTGACGTAAGACTATTTTTTTATACTTACGACCGTTGCAGCATCCCCAATGGTCACGTGATCAAAATTCAGACGCTTGGCAACGGATTCGTATTTACGACGGTCGCAACGTCCCGTGCTCACGTGGTCCCCTTTTGCGACCTTCTGACAAGCAAAATCAATAGGGGAAGCCAAATTCATTTAACAACCGGGTTACTAACATCGATTGCCGTGATTCACTTAACAACTGTGGCAAGGGAGGCCGTAAAATGGGGCAAAACTCACTTAACAAATCTCTTAGCAGCAGAAATGTTGGCCTCAACTGTGGCCCTATGTCAAGGACTATCTGTATTCTCACATCTGACCAAGATCTGCTGGCATAATGATGGTTTATGAGCTCCCCAAGAGATGCTGTTTGGGCTTATTTTCCCAAGGAATCAATCAATCAATCAATCAATCAATCAATCAATCCATCAATCAGAATAGAGCTGGCAGAGACCTTGGCGGTCTTCTAGTCCAGGGATCCCTAACCGGTGGGCCATTACTGGGCCACAGGACAGGCTGGCCAATGCGTGAGCATGTGCGTGCACACCCCATCAGGTGTGCTAGCGCTGTGGCTGCGGGGTGCAAAAGCAGGCCACCGTCGCACTGCAAGGTGCAAAAATGGCTGCCGTCACACTGCGAGGTGCAGAAACAAGGCGCACACACATGCTAGCCCCACCCTGTTTGCGGTGCACGCGTGCTCGCGGCCCCGTGCCTACGCACACGCACGCATTTAAAATGCTTCCCCCTCTCTTTTCCTCCAGTCCGCCAACGGACAAAGGTTGGGGTCATCTGTTCTAGGTTACCTGCCTGAGCAGGGGGTTGGACTTGATGACCTCCAAGGTCCCTTCCAACTTTATTATCATTATTATTATTATTATGGATCATCGCACAGTCAGCCAGATGTTCAGACTGGATTTGGCATTTTGTCTACCTATCGAGTCCTTACCCAGGACCTGGGATAGGCAGATGTGGATGTTTGATGGTAGTACAGATATCGTCGCAGGATGGAAGCAGTTCCTAATAAGGCTGCCTTTTGCAATTGACTAATAGCGAATTTGTCAATGCCAATGGTGTTCACGTGGTGCTCCAGTTGTTTTGGGATTGCACCCAAGGAGCCTATGACTATTGGTACTACCCTTGCTTGCTTTTGCCACAGTCTTTCTATTTCTATTTGTAGGTCTTTGTATTTTGTGATCTTCTCCAGTTCTTTCTCGTCTATTCTGCTGTCTCCAGGCACTGCCACGTCCACTATCCAGACCTTTTTGTCTTTCTTATCGACAATTGTTAAGTCTGGGGTGTAATGTTGCAGGTGCTTGTCTGTTTGAATTCTGATGATGATGATTATTATTGTTATTTCAGATAAGTGGCTGTCCAGTCTCTTCTTAAAAACTTCCAGTGTTGGAGCATTCACCGCTTCTGGAGGCAGGTGGTTCCACTGGTTAATTGTTCTAACTGTCAGGAAGTTTCTCCTTAGTTCTAGGTTGCTTCTCTCCTTGATGAGTTTCCACCCATTGCTTCTTGTCCTGCCTTCAGGCACCTTGGAGAATAGCTTGACTCCCTCTTCTTCGGGGCAGCCCCTGAGATATTGGAACACTGCTATCATGTCCCCCCTCGTCCTTCTCTTCATTAAACTAGACATATCCAATTCCTGCAAGAAGGGCCAACCTGGTTGGTTATCATGGCTACGAAAAACCAAACTGTCATTTGAGACCTAGAAGGCAGCGAGCCGTGTTACTCTCGGCTAACCAAACAATCAGAAGGTGTCGCCTACCTTTTATATAGAATTGGCAAGACGGAAAAGGTGCTAGCAGACACTTTTTGATTATTTTTCTTTTTTTGGGGAGGGGAAATATTTCACTCTTTCAGGGAAGCTTGCAAACTTGTAAAACTGTTAGACACACACACACACACACACACATACACACACGTTCACACACAGGAAATTTCTGAAATGTGTAGAAAAGCAATATAGGAAAGGGGTCCTCAGCTTTCAGCCATTTGTTTAGTGACCGTTCAAAGTTACAATAGCCCTGGAACAAAGGGAATGCATCCGGTCCTGGCACTTACGACCGTCACAGCTTCCCCCACGGTCACGTGATCAAAATTCGGGCGCTTGGCAACCAGCAGCATCCCAGGGTCAACTGTGACCTTCTTACGCCGGCTTTTGACAAGCATAGTGAATGAAGGAAGCCAGGTTTACTTAAATAAGTTTAGTAAATCCTGGTGGCTAGGTTCAAGCATTTTTTTAAATCATGGCTTGACTTGCTTCATTTGAGGTTTCAATGTCAGGTGAACTCTAGTTAATGCCCTTTCCAAGCCATCATTTGTGGTTTATCAATTGGATTTACCTTTCAGAAAGAGAGCATGTGGTTTGCTTCCATGGCGTTGGCTGAAGAGGTCTGAATTGGGAGGCATGGGTGGTAAGCCATGGTTTGAAGAGTTCTGATTTACAATCTGTAAATCATAGTTTAGAAGCAGGAATCACATGACTAGATTAGGCAAAATCCCCCCAGCTGGACCGTATTTTATTTATATAATTTATTAATTCAGTTTTGGTACTGTCCATTTCCAGTGGACAATATATTTTCTAAGTAGTTTCTAAGGACTTTCATAAACCATGGTTATGCAGACTACAAGGTGTGAACCCAGGTAAGGACCATAATGTAATTTACAGGGCCTGGAATCAAAAAAAGAGAATGTCTTTTGGAAACAGATGGGCCATTTCAGAGAAGACATATTTTATAAAGTTATTTTAACTAGAATATCCTTGGGTTTAAGGAGCCCTACATAACTTTGTGCAAGATAAAAAAAAACAGTTAAATAAACATCTCATTAACTTTAATTTAATTGACAAGCTGTAACATCAAGCAAAATTAAAGCCTATAAAGTAAATAAACCCTGTTAATTTCACTCAGCATATGAAGACAGAA